AAAAATGTCAGTATTGTTTGGTAGCAGATTGAGCTGAAAGTTCAATGGCAATAGCTGCAGCCCTTTAAATCATGTGAAGGCAGTAGAAGAATTGCAAGAGACAAAGGCTAACAAAGCTTTCCCCACTACCTGATATATATACCAAACAGACCAGGCTGGTGAAGTAGCTCCATGGGATTCTTCTACTGAGTTGCAGTAGCATGACCCAGGACAGCAGATTTTTATTCTTTGCAGGTTACTGAGACGCTTAACTAAAAACTCGGTCTCATTGTTTCCTCTTCATTGAAGTGTCAAAAAGAGAGGCTGAGCGGAGGGGAGTGATTTATACAGCAAAAATGTCAGGGCAGGGCAAAGGTTTGCAGCCTGATGTTTGCAACTCTTGCTATAAGAGAAACACATGGATGATGGCATCTCATGTAAAAAACACCAAATTAAAATAAAGGAGCTTACTCCATAATGGAACAGACCATGGAATGGGAAGAGAATAATAACCAAAGGTAGGATTCACCTAAGGAGCCCTGAAAATGGACACCCTGTGCAAGGACTCCCACGTGTGCAATTCCTGCATTGCAGGGGGTGGACTAGATGGCCCTTGGGGTCCCTCCCAAATCTATGATTCTATGATTTACAGGCAGTATAAAATGAAGATTTAAAGCACATTCAGAGCCATCTTATCTTTGTATTCTTTCAAAGTCAAGTAATTAATTGAAGCTTTTTGATTTGTTTTCTAGCCTCTTAACAAATTCTTTTTTGGCCCCCAGCAGCCTGGCCACTCTCTGTGCTATTTCCAGTCTTTGTTTAGTCGTTTAGTCGTGCCCGACTCTTCGTGACCCCATGGACTCCCGTCTTCCACTGCCTCCCGCAGTCTGGTCAAACTCATGCTGGTAGCTTCGAGAACACTATCCAACCATCTCGTTCTCTGTCGTCCCCTTCTCCTTGTGCCCTCCATCTTTCCCAACATCGGGGTCTTTTCCAGGGAGTCTTCTCTTCTCATGAGGTGGCCAAAGGATTGAAGCCTCAGCTTCAGGATCTGTCCTTCCAGTGAGCACTCAGGGCTGATTTCCTTCAGAATGGATAGGTTTGATCTTCTTGCAGTCCATGGCACTCTCAAGAGTCACCTCCAGCACCATAATTCAAAACCATCAATTCTTTGGCAATCAGCCTTCTTTATGGACCAGCTCTCACTTCCATACATCACTACTGGGAAAACCATAGCTTTAACTATACGGGCCTTTGTTGGCAAGGTGATGTCTCTGCTTTTTAAGATGCTGCCTAGGTTTGTCGTTGCTTTTCTCCCAAGAAGCAGGCATCTTTTAATTTCCTGACTGCTGTCACCATCTGCAGTGATCATGGAGCCCAAGAAAGTAAAAATCTCTCACTGCCTCCATTTCTTCCCCTTCTATTTGCCAGGAGGTGATGGGCCCAGTGGCCATGATCTTCGTTTTTTTGATGTTGAGCTTCAGACCATATTTTGCGCTCTCTTCTTTCACCCTCATTAAAAGGTTCTTTAATTCCTCCTCACTTTCTGCCATCAAGGTTGTGTCATCTGCATATCTGAGGTTGTTGATATTTCCAGTCTTAGTAATAGTTAAAAGAAGGAGGTTTGCCCTAATTGAAGGGCTATTTTGCAGTGTGTAGGCCCAGTGACTGTTCCTCACTCAAGATGATCCTCAACCCCTCAAAATCTTTGTCTCTGGTGTGATGAATGTCTTCTGAGCTTGTGAGGCTTTATCACTGAACTCCTTATCTCAAAAGGGAGTTTTGGTAACCAAGATTTATACCTTAGTTTTCCTAATCACCACATTTTTATCTCTGCCGACAGGAGAGTCAGGAGTCAATAACTAATGTGCCATATTTCCTCCATTATAGTGCAGATTTAAGAATTGGTTTCAGAAATTATTGGGGGAAATTAATTAAAACCTTGTGTGCTTAAGTGAACTGTCTCTTCCCTGCCCACCCCCATATTTATGTCACACCCCAGTGTGGATGGAAGATAACAAGATTTGCACACAGAAAGAGCACTTTTTCACCTGCCAAGTGTGGAAACCCAGTGGCAGTTCTGAATGGAGCTGAAAGTCGAGAAGCCACAATTGGGCAGTGCTGGGACTTGCCAGCCTGGAAGGCTGAATTAATATCTCCCAGCCTCCATTTTATTACACCTTTATGGTAAAAGTGCCATGTCTCCTCCGTAATGCAGGAGCACTCAGCTTAAAAAGCGGATGGCGTGCCTGTGAGCTGATGCAGGCTGAGACAAGGTATGCTGTGCAGCTAAAAATCTATCTCAAACTTCTGCACCAAGATAGCACAATTTTGTATTATACAGTGGTACCTCGGGTTAAGTACTTAATTCGTTCCGGAGGTCTGTTCTTAACCTGAAACTGTTCTTAACCTGAAGCACCACTTTAGCTAATGGGGCCTCCTGCTGCTGCCACCGGAGCACGATTTCTGTTCTCATCCTGAAGCAAAGTTCTTAACCTGAGGTACTATTTCTGGGTTAGCGGAGTCTGTAACCTGAAGCATCTGTAACCTGAAGCATATATAACCCGAGGTAAAGGTAAAGGTAAAGGTAAAGGAACCCCTGACCATTAGGTCCAGTCGTGGCCGACTCTGGGGTTGCAGCACTCATCTCGCTTTATTGGCCGAGGGAGCCAGCATGACTAAGCTGCTTCTGGCGAACCAGAGCAGCGCACGGAAATACCTTTTACCTTCCCGCCAGAGCAGTACCTATTTATCTACTTGCACTTTGATGTGCTTTCGAACTGCTAGGTTGGCAGGAGCAGGGACCGAGCAACGGGAACTCACCCCGTTGCAGGGATTCAAACCGCCGACCTTCTGATCGGCAAGTCCTAGGCTCTGTGGTTTAACCCACAGCGCCACCTGTGTCCCTAACCCAAGGTACCACTGTATATAAATTATGCCAGTTAAGCTTGTTTATCTGACATACTTTCTTTTGTCTCTGTTAGTCAGGGCAGGATGAGACAATTGGCTTAGGCAGCAGGATTGGGGAAGATGTGAGTTGGTTCCCCCCTGCGCACTTGCAGTGGCAGACCTTGGCACCTCAACTGTCAGCAGCATCTTGTACAACACCACAATCCAACACCTCCAGCCTTTCACCTTCTGTTGGGCACCACAGTGCAGCATCCCATGTGACTGAACTCACCGTGCTCCTCTAGCTCCGTTTGGTCCCTGGCCTGGCTACTGAACCAGCCCTGCAGCTCTTGCTGCTGCCTGCAAGAGGCTCCTATGGGTCTCTCCTCCTCCAAGGGCCAAGGGAGGGCTCTTCCTCAGAGAGAGGCATTTGGGGTAACTAGAAATCCTCCTAAAAAGTTGTCTTCTGTTTCAAGTTACAAGGTACTCTCCCAGCCACCTTGCCCAGAATATAGTGGTACCTTGGTTGTCGAACTTAATCTGTTCCGGGAGTCTGTTTGACTCCTGGAACAATTCAAAAACCAAGGCACGGCTTCTGATTGATTGTAGGAGCTTCCTGCACTCAATTGGAAGCCGCGTCAGATGTCACAAACCGGAACACTCACTTCTGGGTTTGCGGAGTTTGGGAGCCAAAACGTCTGAGCACCAAGGCGTTTGACAACCAAGGCACTACTGTACCTCGCTCTGAGGCAGGGAGCAGGGGCAGAGGACCAGCTAGCAGGGTCATTGCTAATGCAATGACAAAAGGAGAAAGAAGAGCGGGGGAGGGAGCTGAGGATGGCCTGAGAAGCAGGGGGGTGAAACAGGATTATCTTCTTGCCTCAGCTCTAAGTCAGGGTGGGTGTAATGTACTGAGTTGAATAGGATCCAAAATGCAGCAGTCTGATTGGTCCTATAACAATAGGATCCAAAATGCAGCAGTCTGATTGGTCCTAGAACAATAGGATTCAGAATGCAGCAGTTTGATTGGTCCTAGAACAATGCAGCAGTATGATTGGTCTGCAGGAGCCACCCAATCCAGCTCCAGATGGAAGTGAATCCACAACCTGATTGGCCTACAGGAGAATTCTGGAATTAGCCAATCACGTGCAGCCCATTGTGTAAATAATGTATATAAAGCAGATACTGCGGGGAAACTTTCATTCCCTCCTCACCACTATGAGCTGAATAAAGGGCATGAAATCCACTCTCGACTCGGAGTACATTTCAGTGGGGAGCAAAGTATCCAATGCAGTGGGATGTGGCCTTGCCCTCTGATCTCCAAAATGCCCACCGAATCCCTTTCTGGCTTAAGATGTTTTGTCAAACGTTGTCCAGATCCTTTTTCCAATGCCACGAGGACCAGGAACATCCTTTTAAAAAATGGAAGGGGAAGATGATGGAGTTTTTGGAGCTAGCCAACCTAACTGGAAGAGTCCGCGACCAGAAGGAGGAGGAGTATCAGGAAGAATGGACAAGCTGTAATGATTATTTAGTTAAATATGTAAAATTAAATTAGTTGGAAATAGCTTGCAGATATTTAATTGGCTTAGGATTTTATATAAGTTTAGTGATGAATCAATATGTTTAATTTTAAAATTAAAAGATATAAGGATGTTAATGTTTTGGTTAAATTTCATAAGAACTTTGATTTGGAAAACCGTTAAAAGGAAGTGCATGGAAATTCAACCAAGGGGAAGCGAGGAAGCCATTTAACAATGTTAATAAGTGTAATTTTAATAAGGTTATGATCCCTGTCTGTTTGTTTGTTTGTTTGTTTCGTTTATAATTTTGTGAAAAAGTATTTTATTTTTTTTAAAAATGAAAGGGGAGATTCTGAGGATGCTTTATGCTTTGCCCATACCAATTTTGTTCCTTTCTGGAGAACAGCTTTGCTAAATATTTAAAAACAAAGTGCATGAACTTGGAGTACATATTCAAAGGGACACGACAGCTCCCTTGAAAAGTCCAGCCTACACTTCTCAGCTTCATGGATGAGGATATGGAGGCAAGTACCTTAAGCACTTTGGAACATGGCAGTTTGTATCCTGAGCATGAATACAGAGGGATATGGAAGCAGTTTGCTGCCTTACCTTGGATTTGGATGCCGTTTGGCTGAAACGACAGGTTTGCTGACGGCTCATACGCCTTCAAATGGGTTCCTCCAAGTTGGTGGATGCTGGAAGGCTGTGGTGTCCTTTTCTGTATCAAAGGAGGAGGAGCAGAAATTCTCCTGGGGCTTATATGATGCGGAGAAAAAGAAGCAGAAGCTGAAAATCTGAAGAATTAAGGGGGGGGGGAGACAGGAATATAGATGTTCAAAGGGAATGTTAGATTAATTTAGTTCTAGATACATTTTGTTCTGTGCCATAGCAAAACGACTATTTGTATGCACAGTGAAACGAAACCTATAATGTAGACCACAGAATGTGCCACCCACTAGGAAGTTATATGGCATCAGCTGCTGCAGTGATAAGGTGCAAGCGTATCTCAGTAAAGTCAGACCCCCCACCTTCTCCTCCAAGGCTCATCTGATGCCCTCAGGATGAGGAAATCTCTGCCATGGCATCTTCACTGCACAGTTTTCACTGCAGGATTACGCAAACATTTTGGAACTGCTGCCCAATGCAGAAGTTCGAAGTATTACAGTGTAGGTTTACCGGTCGTTCAGACCAAAATACTCTGAGATTCATTTTTACAATTTTTGCATTTACAGGGAAATATTATTGATTAGCTTCTAGGGAGCTGGAACAATGCACAGATGGATGCCTTTCTTGTATAAAGAATTATTTGATGTTATCCTCTGGTGTGTGTGCAGGGGAGGGGCTGATACAAAATTCACCTGTGAAATCTAATCAATGAAAAATGGCTTTAACTGTCAGCCAACAGCAGAGAAGAAGGGAGACAAATCCTTTAGAACCCTTTACATGAAAGCACAGTTTTAAAGATTTCAGATTGGATTTAACATCTAAGAAAAGCTTGCAAATGATAATACAATGTTTTGTATAGCCAGACAGGTCTCCCTTTTAGTAGACTTTAGTGGTCTTTATAATGATTTATGAATCGTTTCATGAATTCCTGGCTTACTCAAGTTGGTGACTATAGCACCTACTTATACAGCCTGCCATCTCACAAAAGAAAAACTTGGCCGTGTTTCAATCCAGATTTGTCCCCAAATAAATCACAGCGTGTTACTGGGGGAACGGCAAATTAAATTTTGTGTATGCAACAATCAATACCAGCTTGTAACCACCAGGAAACCACCACAAGAAATTGTGGCCATGCCATGCAGTCCAAGCAGACAATCGCAAGCTGGGTTATGAGAGAGACAGAGAGAATTCTGTCTTCAAAGGCTGGGGGAGATCAGCTCAGACAAAGTGATTGGCCTCTTCTCCCCTGTCCAGAGCCTCACTCTGCAGTTAACAATGCAACCAGCTGTGGGTGGCTACAATAAGGAACCTCATTAAAGCCCCCCCCCAATAATGCCTAAGGTTCCTATCCCTAAACCCACTTAGCTGGGCGTAAGTCCCATTAATTTCAACAGGACCTACTTCTGAGTAAGTATGCTTAGGATTGTGCTATAAGGCAGAATCATTGAGCATGTCCAACATTTCACATATGAAATGACGGACACCATTGTACACTAGGGCCCTATAGTGCATATAGGACACTCCTCTATGCATATAGGACACTCCATCCTCTGTTGATGGAGTCCCTATCTGAAGGGCTGTTTGCTCCAAGTCCAGAATGAGGAGAAAAAAACATAATTAGGGAAAGCAGGAGCCTTCAAGTTGCCCATGGAAAACAGATTGAGCAGGTATGCTGTCCTCCCCACTATGTGAGATGTACTATATTTCTATTTAAACGGAAGAAACTATTTCTACAAAGGTCCGTATAGTTAAAGCTATGGTTTTCCCAGTACTGATGTATGGAAGTGAGAGCTGGACCATAAAGAAGGCTGATCGCCGAAGAATTGATGCTTTTGAATTCTGGTGCTGGAGGAGACTCTTGAGAGTCCCATGGACTGCAAGAAGATCAAACACATCCATTCTGAAGGAAATCAGCCCTGAGTGCTCACTGCAAGGACAGATCGTGAAGCTGAGGCTCCAATACTTTGGCCACCTTATGAGAAGCGAAAACTCCCTGGAAAAGACCCTGATGTTGGGAAAGATGGAGGGCCCAAGGAGAAGGGGACGACAGAGGACAAGATGGTTGGATAGTGTTCTCAAAGCTACCAATAAGAGTCTGACCAAACTGCGGGAGGCAGTGGAAGACAGGAGTGCCTGGTGTGCTCTGGTCCATGGGGTCACGAAGAGTCGGACACGACTAAATGACTAAACAACAACAACTATTTCTAAATGTGCATCTATACATATAAATTAGCATGTGCAAATCTGTTTCCATCTTTGTCCTCTTTTCAGGTGATGCCTAAATACCCGGCTTGTTCTGTACCACCCATCTTCTCACTGCAGCACTTTCGCCCCCCCCTTCCCTCCGCTATGATTGTCCAACTGGGAATCTGAGCTTTGAGTCTCATGTTAAGTTTTGAAGTAGTGAGACATCACAAAGCAAATCATTCTCATGTCAGCATCTGCTTGGCTAACTTTTGAAGTATGTGAAATAGTCTGGAGGTGAATTTTGAAGGAAAAAATCTCAAGCTTTATTTGGAATAAGTAGCTGCTTCTGTGACAATGAGGTAGTCAAGGGGCTTTTAATCTCAAAAGCAGAAGTGTGTGGTTCATTGGAGCTCCCAGAAGCTTGTGTGTGTGTTTCATATTTGCATCTAACCCACCACCCAAATTGGGGAAGCCATGGCCCTTGAGATGCAGTTGAACTCCAACTACCATCAGCCCAAGCCAATAAGGCCAATGCTTGGGGAGAATTGGAATTGGAGTCCAAAAACATCAAAGGTTTCCCAGCCCTGATTTTCACACAATGAAAGCAGGCTTCTTCAGCCAGATGGGCTCCTTGTCTCTGAGTGGCAAGGAAATGTCAGATTATCTCCCTATTGCAATGATGGCACACTCTGGCACATAAATGTTACTACCAGAGATCCAGAACAATGCACAGAATAGTTGGTTTTCTTTAACTGCCTATCCACTTGAGCGTTATATCGTTCTTCCCAGCACTTTACTTGCCCGAAGAAAACCATTTCAAAAGAGTGCTCTGCCGAAGTCCTATAGAAGCAACACTTTATTTTACAAGCACAAGAAAATGTGACCGTCCCTCATTGTACTTGTAGGCAAGAAGAGGCTGGTTTATAGGCCCCTGGGAAGAGTTTCCTTCTGTGCCTCAAAGGAAGATTTGCTTACTTATTGCTATGATAGAAAGCCTGCCGAGACTCCTGTCTCTGTCTCAGCTTCTGCTCTTCAGACTGCGCTTCTCTTCCTGGAAGCCTTAACTGCCTGCTCAGACATTTCTGGAAAGTGTACTGGAGCTACAAGAACTACACTTGGTGTTTCGAAGGTTGATCACCACCCACTCGGTTTTCTTTCCTTGTGCTACTGGAGAAGGATTTCGTCTTCTCTGAGCATCCTAGTTGGGCAATCATAGTGATGTTCTCTCCCTTTAGATTCTTACCTTCACAGAAGGTAATGCCTTTGAGTGCCAGTGACAGGGGTGGTGGTGAGTTGTTCTTAACCCTTTCCTCTACCCTTTCCGGATAAAAGATGTCCTCTTCTGGCTGCTACCCTGTGATAATAAAATTAAAACTATTCTTCACCCTGTCAGGGCAGCCAACATCCAGGGACGGGCATCTTTTCACCAGGAAAACTGCTTGGTGTTGGTGTGATAGCATCCCCAGGTATCCTGTACGTCGCCTTGAGGTGCCATTAATAGATAAATAACAACAACAATCCCTTTAACCCAGGGCTGACTCGCCTTTTTAGACCTGAGGGCTAATTATACTGCCAGCTGCCATCAGTGAAACTGCAGAACAGAACTGTGTGAAATAAATCAAGTACAAATTACAAATGAATAAAACCACTTCCTCTTCAGTCCTTCCAGCCTGATCAAACTGGCTCTCTCCCATGGCTACTTTTCATTACAAACAGTAACGTCTCTGACACTAACAGGAGCGACGTTTAGGAGATCTAGTCATGGAATCTCCTGAGTAACATGTAGTTTGGTCCTCAAGCTCAGTTCAGAGTCAAAGGCAAGGAAAGCAAATTTGATACTAACTTGCTTACAGATGAGCTATATGCGGAAATATTAGGATCAGGGATTTGTGCAGTTTCACTTTTGTAAACACAAAATCTCCAAGGGAAAGCAGCAAGAGCAAAGAGCCTCGTTTTCTTGACAGTTGAACCTACATTAGAACAAGCAGTAATACATACCATAAAATGAATACTGGAACATAAAACTGCTGGTATTTCTCGCTCTCTTTAGAGAATTGTGACATTAAAAAATGGGTTTAGGAAAATATTCGTTATGATAGCTTGGTTTCACCCAGGCCCAAGCTTTGATTTATTGATCCCCGTTTCCTCAGTGTCTGCCATTTTAGCTGAGAGACAATTCCTCAATAAATAGAAAAAAAGAGACACCATCCCTTCACTGCCTCCCAGACATGAGAGGAAATTGCTATGCTGACCCTAAAACCACATTGCAATAAGATGTTGAGTGTAGATTTTCCTATAACAAGTCATTTAATTTTCCTGTGATTTGTACTCTGAAAGGCTTCTGTCATCCAACTATCCTTCTCTACACAACCTGAGAATGGGCACTAATTAGTGCTCCTCTTCTAGGATTGATGTCATCAAAATAAAAAGGAGCTATAAATAATACTTCATACTTATGTTTAGACATATTCCTCCTGATGTACCTTCACCCGGATAATTTTTTCCTGTTTCCTCAGAGTCTTTTTCTTATATATATGTCTGATTTTGCATCAGCTCCATATTCCAGTAATCCCTCATCTACTTCTCAGTTCATTGTCTACTATTTTTTCCCTTCATTTTCCTTTGTAAACATTAAATAATTGAAACCATTGCTATGGATGGATGTAGGAGTGCAGCTGAATGTCTTGCCAGGATTTCAGCTCAGCTTATTTTCTCTCATCCATCCCACCACTACGTTTCTGATGGAGATGTTACAGAAAAATGGAAAGGACTGTCATCGGCATACTGATGATACCTTGGTCCCCAAACTCCTAATGACTGATCCCAGCTACTTCATATAGATATCAAATAGTATTGGGAATAATAATTGCATAACTCCCAGGGGCCAAAAAGCACTCTTCCAATGCCCTCTTTGATCTTGGTTGCAGAGGTAGGACTGGAATCATGGCAACACAGTCTTCTCGGATACCACGGTCAAAACTATCTCTAAAGTTGCAGAGAGATCAAGAAGCAAGGTCACTCTTGCCTTGTCCATCTCTCTGTCAAGGTCACCCATCAGAGTGATCAAGGGCAACTCAGTCCCATGGCCAGGCCTGAACCTAGATTGGAATAGATCTACATACCGTACTTCGTAAGATCCAAGAATGCTGACAGCTACCCTGCACAATCCTCTCCACCATCTCCACCCCGCCTCCCGCAAAGGGTTTATTGGTCAATAGTTGTTCCAGACCAACCCTTACAGGGCTGATTTCTTTATGAGTTGTTGTCAGATGACTGGAGGGAACTGCATTGGCATCCCTTGCACTAAACCAGAGTCAAGTGTTACGGCTTAAAAAAATGTCTCCCTTTAACTGGATTTTAGTTGAACCTGCTATCCAGACTTTGCTTTGAGACTAGCCTATTTTAGCTGCTGTGCAAACAACTTCTGCAGGTATCCTAATGCAAACATAGGTCTATCGACCTTTTTTAAGAAAGAGAACAGCAGCAGAACTGCAACGCCACCAACAAAGCAAAGCCACTTCACTCCATTATGTGTGGGTCCACTGAACTGGGACTTGCAGGATTATTCCACGAAATGTAAAATGGGGTAGGGACACATGCTGCCCTGATCATCTGGATAAGCTTTCCAAGATAGGGTGGAGCAGGACATAAGGTATTGCACACCTTATCAGGAAATGTTGCTTGAGGTACAGTGGTACCTCGGTTTACGAACTTAATCCATTCCGGAAGTCCATTCTTAAACCAAAACTGTTCTTAAACTGAGGTGTGCTTTCCCTAATGAGGCCTCCCACTGCCAGCGCCCTTCTATCATTCGGCTTCCGTTCTTAGACCAAGGTAAAGTTTGCAAACCGGGACACTACTTCCGAATAGTTCATAAACAGGGCTGTTCTTAAACCGAGGTACTACTCTACTTAAATTTAAGGTTAGATTCTCAGGATGCTAAAAAGTAGTTGATTTGCCCACAATAAACTTCTATTTATGAAGGTCTCTCTCAAACTAAGTATAAAAACATTTGGGAGATAACCAACACCATTTAATAAAATAAGAACTATATTGGGGAGGTTCTTTTTGTTATGCAAATTTGACACCAGAGACTAATTTCTAATATTTCAATTTCTCTGGAATATAAACTTACACTAAACTCTTAAATATAAATAGATTACTAATAATTCTGCTGGTCTGAAAAAAGAAACATTCAGTACGGCAAAATATGTTCCAGTTGTCTATGGTTATAAAGGAAAAGCAGTTGATTTAAGAGGCATATATCAAACATTCTATTTTAGAAAAAGCAGTTAATTTTTCATTATGTGATACAGGAAATTTCTCATTTAATCTACCTGGAGGAAAGAAATGGTTGCAACTTATTTCTTTCCAAAATTGTTGCCTTTAATTATATGTCTTGCAGATGAAAACTGAATCTAGGAAAATGCAGTTCTACCTTGCTGTGATGTCTAACATTCCAGACATAAGTAAAGATGTGAGATCACAATCTAATCAGCAACAAATAGCTGCTCACAGCCTACAGTAATCACTTACAGCTGCCTTTTGAATGCATAGCTATGTAACATTTATTAGCAGATTGCATACGTATATGATAAAACCAGCTGTGTATTACAAGTGTGGCTTAATGATGACAAAGCAAACCTTTTACAATGCCATTCTATGCATGACACACTGCTCAGCCACAAGGCAGATTTAAACCCATCGAAATCCATTCAAGTGTTTTAAACTCAGAACTAGTGCAGGGGGAAAGGACAAGGATTTATTCCCTACTATCTAGGGCCTCAATATATTGTGATTGAAGGTTTGGGGAGTGAATGAGCCAGCAGGATTTGGAATAGGAATGTCTTCTATTTTAAAATCTGTCTGACATCGTCATTGGTTGTTTTTGGCATCAGCTGAAAACCTGCCTTTTTAGGCAGGTGTTGGTGATGTGGGTCTATGATGTATTTCTTCTGCAGTAAAGAAAAGTAGTTAAACCATATATAAGGTAAAGGTAAAGGTACCCCTGCCCGTACGGGCTAGTCTTGCCAGACTCTAGGGTTGTGCGCCCATCTCACTCTATAGGCCGTGGGCCAGCGCTGTCCGGAGACACTTCCGGGTCACGTGGCCAGTGTGACATCGCTGCTCTGGCGAGCCAGAGCCGCACACGGAAACGCCGTTTACCTTCCTGCTTGTAAGCGGTCCCTATTTATCTACTTGCACCCGGGGGTGCTTTCGAACTGCTAGGTTGGCAGGCGCTGGGACCGAACAACGGGAGCGCACCCCGCCGCGGGGATTCGAACCGCCGACCTTTATATAAAGAGAGAGAGAGTGTGTGTTTTATTGTTTTTGATGGGATTGTTGTATTGCTTGATATTATATCTGATATGCTCTGTTCTTGGATCATGTAAAAAATGAAATGAATAAATAAATCACAGCACTCCCAGCTCTGTCCTCCATCAGAGGGTGGCAGTCCAGGTGGGTTCATGAGGAAAGGTGGGAGGCTTCATTGTTTTGGAAATCCTGAGCCAGTATTCCAAAGACAACTCCCTTTGGTCTAATTAAGTGAGACAGGACAGAAAAATACCCCCATTTGTGGCCTTACCTCTCTGTTTCTGAGTCCCCTGTTGTGAGAGGGGGCACCTGGGTTGGTGGGTTGTGGGGGCTGCCATGCACATTGTGCCCTGAAGAAGCGTGGCTCACCGAGTGTGATGGGGGCAGGGAGCCCGGAGCAGCTCCATTTTGACTGGCGTGGGTGTTGGAGAACAGGGCTGCTGCAAGAAGGGCAAAAACATTCACTATTAGGACAGGCACACATCTTCAGATTCCTCAAGTGAGCATCTTAATTCAGTCTTCGGCTGCAGTTAGGAGGCTTTGCTTTCACTACACCAGGAGTTTTAAACATTAGTAAGCTGATGGGACGCGGGTGGCGCTGTGGGTTAAACCACAGAGCCTACAACTTGCTGATCAGAAGGTCGGAGGTTTGAATCCCCGCGACGGGGTGAGCTCCCCTTGCTCAGTCCCTGCTCCTGCCAACCTAGCAGTTCGAAAGCACGTCAAAGTGCAAGTAGATAAATAGGTGCCGCTCTGGCGGGAAGGTAAATGGCATTTCTGTGTGCTGCTCTGGTTCGCCAGAAGCGGCTTAGTCATGCTGGCCAGCTGTACGCCGGCTCCCTCGGCCAATAAAGCGAGATGAGCGCCGCAACCCCAGAGTCGGTCACGACTGGGCCTAATGGTCAGGGGTCCCTTTACCTTTACCTTTAAGATGATGTTTACCCCTTTGTACAGCAAGGCAAACCTCAGCCACACAGTCTTATTTCTACACTGCCTCCCCCCACCCTGGAAGAGCCAGTGTGGCTTAGGGGTTAGAGCGTCAGGCTATGACCTGGGAGACCAGGGTTCAAATCCCGACTCGGCCATGAAGCTTGCTGGCTGACTTTGGGCCACCCAATTACTGTCAGCCCAACAGCAGGGTTGTTGTGGGGCTAAAATGGGGAGGTAAAAGGTAAAAAGGTAAAGGACCTCTGGGCGGTTAAGTCCAGTCAAACTTGACTATGGGGTGTGGCTGCTCATCTCTACTTTCAGGCCAAGGGAGCCAGTGTTTGTCTACAGACAGCTTTCAGGGTTGTGTGGCCAGCAGGACTAAACCACTTCTGGAGCAACAGAACACCGTGACACAAACCAGAGCACACAGAAATGCCATTTACCTTCCCGCCGCAACGGGTGTGCTTTCGAACTGCTAGGTTGGCAGGAGCTGTGACACAGCAATGGTAGTTCACCCCGTCACGGGGATTCGAACCGCCAACCTTCTGATCGGCAAGCCCAAGAGGCTTGGTGGTTTAGACCCCAGCACCACCCGCATCCCACTAAAACTGGGGAGGAGAACTATGTAAGCCACCTTGAGCTCCTTGAAGAAAAACTGGGATACAAATGTAAATAATCACAACAACAGCAATGAGAACAGCAGCAGCAGCAACAACAACGATAATATTCTCTCCATCTTGGCAAGTAAGCAGTATTATCACAATTAAAGGACACATCTAGCCAGGGACAGGCAATGGCCCAGGGAGAATCCAGAGGATCAGACAGAGAGACTGGGAGGACCCCACCAAGCCTCTGGGTTGAAGGTCCCCCCTCCCCACTATAAAGTCCTTTTGGAGGAGCAGACTGAAGTCTTGTGGATTAAAGTGAGAGAGGAATTTAAAACCACCTTTGTCAGAAGCGGACTGGACTTATACAGGGGTCCAGGGATTCTCAAGTACTTATTTTCAGTAATCCTTAAAGATAGCTTTTATAAAATCTTACGCAGGTGATATAATACACTAAAAAGGATTAAAAGTAGATATATCAGCGTTTGAGATAATTGCTGCTGCTGTCATCTGTGGGACACAGGCTAGATTGTGTTCGGATAATTACTGGGAATTGATATTAAAAAGTATTTGTGGGAATAATAAGCTGTACGTAGCCTTTATCACTAACACTCTGCTTATTGGCATTGTTAAAAGAGCAAGGCATGTTTATCTGGTGCAAAATCTAATTAACAACTGCTACAATATGTATAGTAAAACTGGATGTCTGTAGTCACGCCTTCAGAAAAGGATCCTAGGGAACAATATTTATGAGCAAACCAACAGCATTAAAATGAGTGAAAGAAGCTGGCTGGCCTGCCCCCTTTGTAAAGATGTGTGGATATTTTATGTTTTATTGGAATGTGACCCTAACGGGTGAGCAGCAACGAGGTGCATTCTGTCTTTGATAGTTCCGTAACGGACAGTGTATTTCACTGTGGTTTTAATAATAAAATACGAACCCATGACCATGAAGATCCAAGAAGCATTCTCTGTAGAGATGATATTGCTAAGTTCACTGGGTGGGAGAGCTTTCACCAAGCCTGGGGCACCCTCCAGATGTTCTGAACTCCCCACAGCCCCAGCCAGCGCTGCCATCCAAAGCCATCTGCAGGGCTTGGCCTGCCAAAGACGGATGTAGTGGAATTATGCTATGATTCTTACAGCCGATGAACTGAGTATCTGAAGAGCCCTGCCAGATCAGGCTAGGGGTTGCTCTTGCCCGAAATTCTGCTTTCACCAGCAGCCAGATGTTTCTGGAAAGGCAAGGCCACAACTAGGCATGGAAAAAATCAGCTCTCCACCAGTGCTGAACTGGGCAAGCATATTGGCAAGGCAGCCAGAGCAATGGCTCACCTCTCCAAAAGAGTATGGGAGAATGTGATGCTACCGTCCAATACCAAAAGGAAGAGTGTTATATTGAAAAATCAGAACTCCTATTAGAATAAACAAGTTCCATTATAAATACTGAAATACTAAATAAGGTGGATAACAATGTGTAACAGAAAAAGAAGCAGAAAACTGGTTTAAAAGTATGTGAAAGAAAGTAAGAGAAGTGGAAAGAAATTGCAATTGAGTAGATTGGAAGTTTATCACAGGGGTGGGCTGAGGGGTGAGGGATGGTGGTGGGAAAATGAAGTATTTGTGAGATTGAGTTGGATATGTATGAATATTCTTAAGGATTGTATGAAATGTATGTTTGTATATTCGTAACATGTATGTATTAATGTTGAATTATTTTAATATATATATTTTTTTAAAGGAAGAGTGTTGAGCATGTTGCTTTATGGAACTGAGTCCTTGGCAACTGACAACCATCAGAAGTGACACCTCAACACCTTCCCACATGTGCTGTATCATGAAGATTTGGAGTATCACATGGCAGGACAGAGTTTCAAACAAAGATGTGCTCAAGCCCACATTCTCAGCATGTTTGCACTCCTGTCTCAGCGACGGCTACACTGGCTTGGTCATGCCCATAGAATGGAAGAGGGCAGGATCCCCAAGGATGTGCTCTATGGGGTGCTGGCTTCAGGCATCATGCCTGTTGGCAGACCAACTCTGCATTACAAAGATGACTGTAAACATGAAGACATGAAGGCTGGCCACATCAGCTCTGCCAGATGGGAATCCCTTGCAGGTGACCTCAGTGCCTGCAGACAGGCATTCAAGTCCTGCATTCATAGCAGTGGCTGTCGGAATCTTAGCTCGGCCAAGCTGAGAAGGCTAATCTTCGGAATCACCTCCCGACGTGTTTAACGACCTCGAGCCTTTGATGAGGCTCCAAGGCACATCCTCCCAGCAGAGTTCCCAGCACAGGGAAGGATGAGACAGTATGATCTACATTGCTATGCTTTATTTTCTAGCTACGCAGAGAGCAAAGAAATATACATCATCTCCCTGTGAGAGCAGAGAGCAACTGAAACAAAGGAACAAAGGAAACTGGAAACCACCAACGTCACATCCCGTCTCCCTTTCCTGTGAGACTGCAAGGTCTCTGGAATGTAAACAGAGTCCTGTGACTCCCAGCAGCTGCTCAGTGAGAAACAGAAACAGTGACCAGAGGAGAAATAACTGCTGGGTGGAGCACAGAGAGAAGAAATGTCATGGGACATCTGCAGCAGCACAACCAGACACTTTCATCTGCCCCAGCTGCAACTAAACATGTCTCTACAGCCACAGCAGACACTGCAACCTTCCAACAGTTTGACTTCCCCCCCAAGGCACCCTCCTCCATCGTCTCCCGAGACGGACGGATGCCAGAGACCAGACCTGCGCATAGAATTCCAGAACTGATAGAGCCATCGTGGGGAATCCCTAGCCTATCAAGGGCAACATGAGCCTCCCTCCAGAACTATCTAAATTGTTACTGCAGGACTTAATTGTGTGGCAAGTTCCCGCCTTCCCCCAATAGAAATAAAGATACGCGGCACCATTGTATTAAGTTAATGGGCTAAAATTGGCCACAACTTTATTGGTTACAGGTAAGAGAGGTATTGGCTTAGGCATTGGTCCTATCAGACTATCCGGCTTCAGCCTGTTTGCTTGAAGACTGGGAAGGGTTAACACCAGCAGGGGGAAGCCCTGCTGATGCACATCAACTAGGGACTCCCCCAGGGTCACCACTCAGGGGCGTGCCTTAGGCCTTCACCTCCATAGGCTTCGGACGAGGCCACATCCCCCGGAATCCTTTACCAGACTACCCTTCAATATTTGGGGGAGGTGATGGCGCTCCTCCCCCCCAACACATCTACATAACAATACCCCTACCAATGCCTAACCGCCCAAACCAAAGGAGTTGTGATGATTTGCTACGAGGTAGGGGAAAAACCAAATGGCCGGTGCCAATTTGCTAAGTGGAAAAAATCCCTACCAGGCCCCTTAACGGTGACCCACCGAGGTCCATAGCAAGGTCAAAAGAGAAACCTTAAGGGGCGGGCAGGTGGGAAACAACAGCAGCTGCGCAGGCAAAAGAGGGAGATCCCGGGGCCGCGCTTGCCTTAAGTGAGGCAAGCCACATACTCCTAGCCAGCTGATTGGCTGGCTCAGGGGATGATGCGGCCCGAGGATTCCCCTGATCGTGCGGGGGCTGGAAACCAGCCTCTGCGCGCATGTTGGGGGCGTGAAACCCGCAACCCCACCTCCTCCTGATGTCGGAAGTGGCTTTGTTTGCAAGGCTTATACGCATTTTACATATTAATATTTTATTAATACATTGATGGCCCGTTTTAATCCATTTAATTGCTCCCATCGCTTCATTCTCATCCCAACGGCACCTTTCCTGCACCTTCAGAAAACTCAAGGCCTATAGTGTAGTAATCTCTTCAAAAGAGAAATCAGCCATTTGGGAAGATAATAGCTCTCTGCTGTTTTCATCTTATCCTTGTGATGTTTATGCTGCAGCATTTAAATCAACAGAACATTTC